TTGTTGCTTGCGCACTTCACTCGATATTCCTCATCAAAAGGCAGGAGCAAGTCGAGAACTTCTTGTCCATGGTTGTCGGCGAAAGACCAAGAGGGTATCTCCTTCGTGATGTCGTCGACGGTCAAGAGATGCCCAAGTCGTGCTAATGTTTTCAAGATCTTGTCAGGGAGAAGGACGTCTGGACCCCAGATGCAGTCTTCATATTCCCGTGTCCAGCACCGGTCGCGCCACTCCTGGAGGAGCTTGAGACTCGCCTTGTACCGTTCGCCACGTCGGCTACCGAATCCGTCTGGTTTGCGCTGCTTCGGAGCAGGAGGTGTAGCTTTGACTGTGTTGAAATCCTGAAGATACCGGATAGTGTTGAACACCTTGCGATGTGCGTTGTCTAGAGAAGTAGGATCTTTGCGTTCAAGCTCAAGGACGCATAGGTCACAACATGGGGCCGTCAATGCTAGGGATACGTCAGATTATGGCAGGCGGATATGCTAGTATAGTCCTCACCGTGCTGTTGAGGTGGGTTGTTGTAGTAGCGATCGGCGACCGCGCGCCGGCATCGTGGAGCCTGCAGGTAGTCCCGCATACTGGGCTCGAGCTTTTGCGGTATTCCATGTCGCCGCTGATCTCAATCGTGCAGCTGGGTGAGTCCTCTGGATCTTGAGACACATCGTCGTCATCTTCCGAAGTCTCTTCATCGCGGTCGGGAGCCCCTTCGTCGATGTCGACGTCGTTGTCAACAGTCTTATCGTTACCGTTCACCATCTCGTCATCACTGATAAGTTGCTGACCATCCTCCTGGTCGCCGCGGCTCTCCTGACTATTCTGCAGGTTGTCCTGTCTATCTTGACCTCGCTGGTACTTGTCGCCAGCCTGCGTCTCCTCGCTAATTCCACCTGGCTGCGTATCGTCTTCGCCATCGATCTCCAAAGGGCTGTCGGCAGAAGTGCCAGGAATAGGCACTACGTCCTCCCCGCCCGCATCGTCGTCCCGCTCTGAGTCGTCGCTGTCCTCGCCATTGTCGAGCGCACGCTTCTGCGGAATGGTGACCTCAACCTCTTCATACTTAATGTCCTTTCGCTTGCGAGCCCGAGGCTGCCGATCGTCATCCTTCTTGGGCTTTGGCTTCTTGCGTGTCTGGAAGGCTGTCGGTTCGACAAGGAGGATCACTATTGCCGGTTCCCCACCACGGCCTGCACGTCCGAGGTGCTGGATCCATTCGTTCAGAGTTCTGGGGACCATGAACTGGACGATACGGACGATGTCCGGTATATCTAAGCCCTGCAAACATCGTCAGCGCGCATGATATCAATCACAATTAGCACGCACCATGCCTGCGACTTCGGTCGCAACGAGAATCTTGATGTGACCTTGGCGGAACTGGTCCATGACCCATCGCTTCGTCCGCCGATGTCGCCCGGCATGCATGAAGTTTATTTGGCTCTTAAGGTGGTCGGGGAGCTTCTCGAAGAGGCGTTCCCAAACGTTTCGCGCCATATCACGGGTCTTCACGAAGATGATCGTGCGAAGGAGTTCCTCGCCCTTCGTGGTCTCGTCTAGAACAAAATCTAGGGCCTCTCAATCATTAGTACACTTTGTGCGAATGATAATTGGAGTTATGTTAGGTCTGTCGTTGCCAAGATTCACGACGGCGCTGTATTCTGGGCGAAAGCGAAGCTTTTTCTGCACGTCCTCGAGTACAGCCGGTGTCATGGTTGCCGAGGTCGCCAGAACGGGCACAGACAGAGGAGCATAAGAGCGGAGACGTTCGAGCTCAGCGAACTGCTTGCGAAAATCGCCACCCCAGAGCGTGATCGTATGCGCTTCGTCGATGGCGATGCACAAGACGTTGTCGGTGAAGCTCGGCGTCCGCATGAGTTTTGAGAAGCCCTGGTGCTCGAGCAGCATTTCAGGAGACGCAAATATGGCACGGAACTTCTCGTCAACAAGGTCCTATGTAAAGTACTCAGTACCGGCGCAATATCTAGATGGCGGGGCGCACTTGACGAAGTTGCGGGCACCATGTGTCCGCATTTACTGCGGCCGCCGTGAAGCCGACAGCTTTGAAGCGTTTGACCTGAGCAAAATAATTCGTCAAGTATCTATACTTGTAGCAGAGCATATCGGTG